TCATGTCCCTATGTGTAGGTTTACTCTCTTTTCTTCCAGACATATAGTGGACCGCCTTGTCCTCCATATTGACCTGAAAGTGAAAAACTCGAAAAAACTGCAAGTTCACTATGTGGACTTCTTATGTATTTATACATGTTGATCATATTTCCCCTTAATCACATCTTCTCAAGTGAGAATAATTCAGTTCCTCTAATCTTTCCTCATAGCTGAGCTCCTCCATGACTCTTTTCAGTATGGCTGCCACTCGCTGCACTTTTTCCAGTTCTCTAATATCCTTTTTTGGTGCCCAAAACTGAACTACATACGGTACTACAGATGAGGTAAGGTCTAATGATGATGATTTATACAGGGGCAAAATGATGTCTCTGTCTCTTTGTAGTCTATACGTTTTTTAATAAAAGAAAGTATTTGACTAGTCCCAAGACAAATAAATTGGTTGTAATGGATATATTAAGGGATGGACCCACATCACTGGGTGCATCAGGCACATTCTAATTCTATTTCAGGTACACACAGAAAAGTTTTCGTTATGTACCATAATATTTGTAGATTCACTTTGATAACTTACTTTCCCACTGCATTAACACACTAAACAGTGGACCCCGCTACTAGGGTCACTACCATCTGACACCAGTCTCTCTGCCATTCTCTCCTGGTGCTTTCAGTCCAATCAGTTTCCTCTTGGAAAATTACTTACCAACCACAGCTGTAGGTTTAATCTTCTCCATTTGAGAGCGATGGTATTGCATGACAATGGACCACCTTGTCACAGGGTGAAACAACAGCAGGTGCAACAGACGCCTTGTCATCCCCTGCAGGCTGAACTGGGACTTCTCTACTCTTGCCAGGGGAACTGCAAACACGTGTTCCATGCAAACTTGCAAGCAACCACAGATCTTTTTCTGGCCAGATTACCTTGGCTGTATCCTGGGATAAGGGACATTTGGGAACTGCATGTCCCACTAACTGTATATCAAGCAACAGGCTTGCTTCCATGCCTTGTCAAGACTTTTCATGAGGCACCATCTTGAATGCAGTTTTTCCCTAGAAGGATTTCCTCTTTAAACTTGTCATAGTCAACCTGGCCTTGGACCATCAACTGATATGTTACCCAAAACTTCATCAGCAGAATGGCCTGTAATAATTCAGGCAAATGTTTTTTGAGCCATGCTTTCCAATCAATAATTCTATCCAGGCAGTTATCAAGTTCTTAATATAATCAGAAGGCAAGATCTTTTACAAAAAGTAATTTCATTAGTTTTGCTATGGGCAATGTCCTTTTCTGTTGGAAAGCCTTATATTGCAGGTATACAGCTTTTCTTTCCTTCCTTGTTTACCTGGTCCATGTGACCATCGTGAATATAGTAAATGTTGTCAATACAAGCATGCAGTGCCACCATGATCTTAAGATTTTTTTATTTATACACTGCTAAGTGATTTTACATGCAGTAGGCTAGATAAATGGAGGAAAACAGAGGAAGTGCTCTGCTGTCAATAACTAATATTGAACTGCCCAGCTAACATCAGGAGTTTCATGTAGGGTGGCTAAGAAGATATAAAATAATTTTAATGAACATATATGTATGAATATAAAAGCAAGAATCACTTTCCTGTGTTTTTTGTAATTATATTTACATGTATTGTTTTTTTTTCTACACTGGCCATAGATGGGTAGAATTTTGATGAAAAATTTGAAGAAAGTTTGTTCATTTCTTTAATCATTAGTGAATCAAATAAACATTAATTTTCAACCACAGTTATGAGAAAATTTGAAGGAGCAGGATTGAAACCTTTTCTCAAATTATCGAATTTCTACCATGAATGTGGCTTTTGTCTGTTAAAGTCAATTAATTTCCAAATCAAATGATAAAAGCAAAAGAAATCTTGCAACCAAAAATTCTGAGAATTTTTCCAAAGACTATTCCTAAAAATGATTGTTCAAAATTATATCCAGCTTCGTCACCAGAAAGTGCATGGCTTCCTCATGGAACAATTAAACTTTCTGTGTATTTTTTATGCAATGGATGCTGGGAGAAATGTAGGTAACATAGCGATAACTAAAATACTGTAATACTGTAAGTATTCAAGTTACTGGGTGCTCAGTAAAAGATACATTAGATAGGGTTCACAGGAGACTGAGAGAACAAGAACAAATGTCTCAGATAAACCTTAAACACAGCCGAACAAATTAAGGTAGAACAAATGACATGTGAACTGTCAAGATAACAACTCCCCAGGAAAAATTACCTCCTCTTCCATATACCTAAGCTTCATCTCAAGAATCCAACTCCATAACAAATTTAAACGTACAGGAATAGGGTCAGTGCTTAATGACATGGACTTATGGTGGTATGGAAAACATCTGTACTGAACAGGGAACAATAGACACAATCACATGATGATCAGATATCATTGTTCTTTCACCACAATTGCTACTCTACAAATAATCACGTATGAAGCTCGAAGAAATGTATGCACCTTAGTGGGTGACATACTAGGATTAATAAATTACATAAGTGGCCCATGTATATGCACCTCAAATGACAGATCTGTAAATTGGGAAAAATAAAACTTTTCTGAAAAGTTCATTGAAATGAACTGTTTATATAAAGATATATAGCGTATTGAACAATTCTACATTTACGTTGGTGTTCCTTCCTAAATGTCATTGCTCTCCAATCATGACAAATGATCCAAGAGAGAATTCTGGTACACCTAATTTCAAGCAGTGTATACACTCATGTTATAATCAACCAAAGTGGTGAGAAAATTAGTATTTTTTTTAATGAAAACACCAAATCTTGCAACATTGGGACTTGAAGTAGAAGAGATTTAACCTTTTCAATTTTAGTCGTGTTGACAGAAAGTTGTTCAACCATGAGCTTGAACACTAGAGGAGTTAAATGCATGTCAGCACACATTACCATCCTGAAGGAAATACTTCTCAAAAGGTCTAAGGAAAATTAAATCATTAGTATAATGAAGATGAGGTGTAGTTATTCACAAAGTCATGGCTATCATGTGCTAATTAAAACCCTCGAGAATTACTCGAGTGCTTCTTGTCATAAACGTGATTGGAGCCAATAAAGACATTTAGATCTGGTACCTCATTCTGCTATTTTTTCCTTCCACTTTATGAAATCATCAAAATGCTTCTGCATCTCATTTTTCGGGGACTGAAATAGAAGCTGAAGCACAAACTGATCACTGAGGAACAATTTGAGATATTTTATAACAGGCATAAGAAAGTCAAGTGAGTCATCCACTCTGTGAAATGGAAGAATGAGCCAGAGGCTTGGCCTATCACATTTGCTGCTATCAAGTATACTAAAAGCCTAAAATGATCATGAAGCACCACATGATGGATTATGAGGCCATTTAAAGGTTTATTGTATTTTAAGTAGTGCTAGACGGGGCATAAATAAATTTTCATCAAGCTTTGGTACAAAACATGAACCTGAGCTCCAAAATATGCCATCCTTAGTAATTGCAGCCATCATATATTAATGCTTGTATACATGAAAACTGCATAATGAAGATACTTCCAATGTTGTAAGATAACCGTGAATAGAGTTTGTGAATCACTACTTGAGTTGGGCCTTTTACTACCAACACATGTTGGAGGGATTCAAGTTTCTCATTTAAAACAATATCCCAAAAATGAAATATACAGGAGTGAACTATGGGCAAACAGCTAATTGCACAGTCAAAATACATGAATGTTTTCTGATTGGATAGCCAACCTCATGAGACACACGCTTCAGCTAGTCAGTATATTTGATCTGTTACCTCCTGTCTGCACATGTGTTTCATCTCGACTAGGCTGGACATTGCATTAGCACTTCCAAGCCACACTGCTTAACCAAGAAGACTAATTGTCCAGATAGAAACTTTGGATGTCACCTATGTGGTTTTGCACTGCAGTGTAGAATATGTATATAAATCAGAAAAATGGCTGTACAGAATTACACATGCTTTGGCTAGCAAAAAAAGAACATATATGTATTATTATTTTGTATTTCACCTGTTTGCCCAGAGTTTTGGTTTAGTATCGTAGATTTTACAAATATATCTGAAAGTTCTGTCATAAAACTGAGCAACTGCATCATCATGTTTGTTGGCAATTACAGACATCGTTATAGTGACAGTGACATTCAGGACAGTTTTTAATTGGCCCTGTAACCTGTCATCCAAAACCAATTGTGGTGATACATGTAATATGATGCACTGAATAAAATGCCATCTGTTTGTAGGTTATGTTAAAAAGTAATTAAAAGATTATTATTAAGTATGTGGGAAACTACATCTATTGCTTCTATAAACAAAAGCTTATCTGCTTTGGTTAATGCAAATAGACTGTCTCATCAAGGCTGCAGTAAGCTACCTAATTAGCATGCAAGCTGCATTACTTACCTTAATGTTCTCCATAAACATACTTCTAAGCTAAACAATATTTTCTGACTATTCTTGCGAAAAATGTATTTATCTGAACATCACATTTGGAGCTGGGGTACCTTAAATTATGCTGCATTTTTTTAAAAATTCCAGTTCCATACAACATTTTCCTATTCTTTTGATAAGTAGCATAAATAAAGAAAAACATCAGCTAATTACCTTCCTAAAAAGTTTGATTTTTTTGTCTGTTAATGATCAAACATTTTGTTTTCCCGCATTTTAGATGTGAGCAGTGATAAGAACCTGTATTCCTTTTGTTTTCAAAATAACATTTGTTTTTTCTAAAATTTTGTAGATTGTTTTGTTATGTACTATATCACAGAATTGTATGCTTTGTTGATTTATTTTTATGTAGTTTGTTTTTAGAATAAGGGTATATTAACCACTAGCCTACAGGGCACTTATACCCCCTTCCTGCCCAGGCCAGTTTTCAGCTTTCAGTGCTGTCACATTTTGAACGACAATTGCGCGGTGATGCAACACTGTACTCATGAAATTTTTATCATTTTTTTGAGACAGATAGAGCTTTCTTTTGGTAGTATTTAATCACCTCTGGGTTTTTATTTTTTTGCTAAACAAACCAAAAACAACTGAAAATTTTGAAAAAAAAAAAAAAGTTTTTTCTTAGTTTTTGTTATAAAATGTTGTAAATAAGTGATTTTTCTCCTTCACTGATGTGAGCTAATGAGGCTGCAGTGATAGGCACTGATAGGCGGCACTGACTGGCACTGTTAGCACTGACTGGCGGCACTGATAGGCGGCACTGACTGGCACTGATAGGCAGCACTGACTGGCACGGATAGGCAGCACTGATAGGTGGCACTGACTGGCATTGATATGTGGCACTCACTGATAGGTGGCACTGAAAGGCAGCTCAGATGGGCACTGATATGTGGCATTGATGTGCACTGGTAGGCACTGATATGTGGCATTGATCTGGCACTGATTGGCACTGGCAGGTGGCATTGATGAGCACTGACAGCTGGCATTGATGGACACTGATAGGTGACACTGCTGGGGCTACACTGATCATCAGTGCCCTGATGACCAGTGTGCATGTCCCCTCTGAGGAATGCCGATTACCAGCTCTCCTCTTGAGCTGTCAGCGTGACAGTTCATGAGAGAAATGCCAATAACCAGCATTTCCTTATTTACATGCGATCAGCTGTGATTGGACACAGCTGATCACATGACTGAGCTGACGTCTTCGGCTCTTTCCATAGATCGATGATCCACTGTGTCCGAGGGACACAGAGCACCACCGACCGCCATACTGCGTGCCCCCGGAGCCGCACACGCGCGGTTAGATTGGGAGGATGTCATATGACATCCTCCCAGAACGAGAGAACCACCTTGCTCCCCTCATTTCCTTGCAGGTGCAGGTATTGTAAGGGACCCAAATACTTGAGGTGAGGGTCTTATGTTTAGCAAAGATCCAACACCATAAAGAGTTTATGTCTCTGACATTCACACTTCACTACTATCTTGACAAATATCCTAGTCACCAGTCTAATCTCTCTTGTTACATAGTTACTTAGTTAGTCTGGTTCACAAAAGAAAGTCCATCTAGTTCAACCATAACATAAATACATAAATAAATAGTTACAATCCTATACCCACAGTTGATCCAGAGGAATGTAAAAAACACAGCAAATCATGATCCCATTTGCTCCTGCAGGGGTACAAAAATCCTTCCTGATCCCCCAAGAGGCAATTGGCCAGAACCAACTCTTGAGAGAGTCTATTCCACATTTTCACAGCTGTTTTTTTTTACTGTGAAGAAGCCTTTCCATATTTTGATATGAAATCTCTGTGATGACATCAGGGTGAATAACTCTACGCCGAGTTCATTATATGCAATTATACATGTTGACCATATCCCCCCTTAATCTTCTCTTCTCAAGAGAGAATACATTCAGTTCCTCTAATCCTTCCTCATAGCTGATCTCCTCCATGCCTCCCCTTATCAGTTTGGTTGCCCTTCTCTGCACTTCCAGTTCCCCTATATCCCTTTTGTGGAATTGTGTCCAAAACTGAACTGCATATTCCAGATGAGGTATTAATAATGATTTGTCCTGGGGTAATATGATATCTCTCTCTGTGAAGTCTATACCTCTTTTAATGCAAGAGAGGATTTTGCTCGCTTTGGACACCGCAGCTTGGCATTGCATGCCATTATTAAGCTTGTGATCTACCAGAACTCCCAGATCCTTCTCCACCATTGATTCCACCAGTTGTACCCCCCCTAGTATGTATGATGCATGCATATTCTTAGCCGCCAAGTGCATAACTTTACAATTATCAACATTAAACCTCATTTGCCACATAATTGCCCAATTAAACAGTGCATTGAGGTCAGCTTGTAAGTTGGAGACATCCTGTAAGGACGTTATTCCACTGCACAGCTTGGTGTCATCTGCAAAGACTGAAACTGTACTTTTAATCCCAGACCCTATATCATTAATAAATGTATTAAAAAGTAAGGGTTCCAACACTGAACCTTGGAGTACACCACTAACAACCCTAGACCATTCAGAGTATGAATTGTTAACTACTCTCTGAATACGATCTTTTAGCCAGTTTTCTATCCATTTACATACTGATTTTTCCAAGCCTGTAGACTTTAACTTACACATTAGCCGTGTGTGGGGAACTGTGTCAAACGCTTTTACAAAATCCAAGTATACCACGTCCACCGCCACCCATCTGTCCAAGGTTTTGCTCACCTCCTCATAAAAAGAAATCAGATTTATTTGACAACTTTTGTCTTTCATGAATCCATGCTGTCTGTTGCTTAAAATATTTTTGCCAGCAAGAACTCATCTATGTGGTCTTTTCTTAAACTCTCCAGTATCTTCCCAACTATAAATGTTAAACTAACAGGTCTATAATTACTTGGTAAAGATTTTGCTCCCTTTTTAAATACTGGCATCACATTGGCCTTACGCCAGTCCAGTGGTACTATGCCAGTCATTAAAGAGTCCCTAAAAATTAGAAACCATATCTTTGAAATGACAGAGCTCAATTCTTTAAGGACCTGTGGGTGTATGCCATCTGGTTCAGGTGCTTTATTCACTTTTATTCTATCTAAATGTTTCCAAACCATATCTGTTGTGAGGCAATGTGGATCATTTGGGGCTGTGTCAATACCATGCCCATTATGGATGTTGTACTGTACCAAGTGCTTTGCTGAAGAGCAAAATAAAAATTATAAATGAAAGTGTATTATAGAGTGCTAGCTCTATGCCTATATTTTGTGGGCAGAAACCCAGATAAAGTGGAAACGTATGCAACCAAATTTGATGAATTCAGTGAATTTGCCATATATACGCTGTCATAGTTGTGCACATCCTTACAATGTGTGCACACAAGATAAATACCGTTACATTACGTTTGGGTTGATTGCCTTGCTGTTGGGTGCATTGATGACCTATGTATTCACCAAACAAGCTTTGCGCCAGTCTTGCAAATCCTGTATTAACTCCTTTACAAATCCTGTAGGCAATCAATTAGACCAGTGGTTCTCAACCTTTCTAATGCCGCGACCCCTTAATACAGTTCCTCATGTTGTGGTGACCCCCAACCATAAAATTATTTTCGTTGCTACTTCATAACTGTAATTTTGCAGTGGGAGGACTAGTGCCACATCATTGGTGTCAGTGGAAGGAGTAGTGCCCCATCACTGATGTCAGTGGGAGGAATAGTGCCCCATCGTTGGTGTCAGTGGGAGGAATAGTGCCCCATCGTTGGTGTCAGTGGGAGGAATAGTGCCCCATCGTTGGTGTCAGTGGGAGGAATAGTGCCCCATCGTTGGTGTCAGTGGGAGGAATAGTGCCCCATCGTTGGTGTCAGTGGGGGGAATAGTGCCCCATCGTTGGTGTCAGTGGGGGGAATAGTGCCCCATCGTTGGTGTCAGTGGGGGGTATAGTGCCCCATCGTTGGTGTCAGTGGGGGGAATAGTGCCCCATCGTTGGTGTCAGTGGGGGGAATAGTGCCCCATCGTTGGTGTCAGTGGGGGGAATAGTGCCCCATCGTTGGTGTCAGTGGGGGGAATAGTGCCCCATCGTTGGTGTCAGTGGGGAGAATAGTGCCCCATCGTTGGTGTCAGTGGGGGGAATAGTGCCCCATCATTGGTGTCAGTGGGAGGAATAGTGCCCCATCATTGGTGTCAGTGGGAGGAATAGTGCCCCATCATTGGTGTCAGTGGGAGGAATAGTGCCCCATCATTGGTGTCAGTGGGGGGAATAGTGCCCCATCATTGGTGTCAGTGGGGGGAATAGTGCCCCATCATTGGTGTCAGTGGGGGGAATAGTGCCCCATCATTGGTGTCAGTGGGGGGAATAGTGCCCCATCATTGGTGTCAGTGGGGGGAATAGTGCCCCATCATTGGTGTCAGTGGGGGGAATAGTGCCCCATCATTGGTGTCAGTGGGGGGAATAGTGCCCCAGCATTGGTGTCAGTGGGAGGAATAGTGCCCCATCATTGGTGTCAGTGGGAGGAATAGTGCCCCATCATTGATCTCAGTGTGGTGGAGGGGGAAATAGTGCCCCATCTTTGGGGTCAGGGGGGGGAATAGTGCCCCATCGTTGGTGTCGGTGGGGGGAGGAATAGTGCCCCATTCTTGGTGTCAGTGGGGGGAGGAATAGTGCCCCATCGTTGGTGTCAGTGGGGGGGAGGAATAGTGCCCCATCGTTGGTGTCAGTGGGGGGGAGGAATAGTGCCCCATCGTTGGTGTCAGTGGGGAAGAGGAATAGTGCCCCATCGTTGGTGTCAGTGGGGGGGAGGAATAGTGCCCCATTATTGGTGTCAGTGTGGGGGGGGAGGAAATTGTGCCCCATCATTGGTGTCAGTGGGAGAAATAGTGCCCCCATTGTTGGTATTAGTCACACAAATGATGGGGCACTATTCCTCCCACTGACACCAATGATACTTACCTTGCTGACCCCCTGCTCCAGCCTGGGCTCGCTCTCTCACTTACCTGTCAGCTGTCTTCCTTCTCTGGCCGCTCTCCTCTTCACTTACTCCGGCAGTTCCCTCGATCTTCTTAGATCTACGCGCGCTGCCGCTCGGCTCCTCCTCTCCAAGCTCCACCTCCTCGCCGGTGATTGGCCGCCTGTGTGCCTCTCCTGAGCTACAGTTCCGGTGGCCAATCAGCGGCGAGGAGGCGGAGTTGTTGAGGGATCCCGGAGGTGTGGCCAGGTGACAGGGCAGCGTGTCATCCCGCCCACACATCGACTGAGTCAGAGGAGCGGTGTCTCGGTTCCTAAGACCATCGGAAATACGTGTTTTCCGATGGTCTTAGGCGACCCCTGGGAAATGGTCGTTCGACCCCCAAAAGGGGTCGCGACCCCCAGGTTGAGAACCGCTGAATTAGACTATAGGGAGATTTAAAAAGACACATTTTCCTAAATCTGTCTGGGTGCAGCAAGTGACTATAGGCTCACTTCTAAAACCATTCTCTAAAAATGTACAAGGTACTGTCTTTAGAAAATATCCAGTATTTCTGAAGTTGGCTATCAGATGTACAATAATTTAGCTTGGATGTATACGTTTTACATACTTGTACTACATGGATAAACTGCATTTTGTTGTAAAAAAAAAAACCTTCCAGGTGAACTACAGATATTGCAAATATTTTTTGCAGATTTCTGAATTTTGCTAAAGGAATAGCTGTTTGATTGTCTTTCACTAATTTGTAAATCACCTAAATAAGGTGTACGTTTATTAAGCAGAGATAATTTATCTCATTTCAGTTCTCAGGAAAAAATCTTCTCCTCTGTCCTTTTTATGAAGCGGAGAACATTTGTTCTCAGAAGGAGAAGAGAGAAGTTTTTCCTCTG